AACAGAGCAGAGCGTAGTGGCGCTGCTGGTGGACCGCAGCGTTCTCAGTGGAAACAGGAGCATTGGCCAAAGTGGCAGCAAACGGCGGTGTAGTGGACAGCGCTGACTGATCGCGGTGCACAGAGTAAGAGGAAATTGGGAGTACAAACTGACTGAGGGTTTAGTGCAGCCTTCACCCCATGAACTTAAGACACGACTTGTACAGCACTGCAGCCAAAAGGCCAGAGGACAAGATTCAGCTTTCAAATAATTCTATTATATTTCTCATAAAATTGCTTTTTATTCTAAATTTTAATTGCTGTCTGATCCTTGTGGCATGACGTGCACATTGCCCCCAGCTGTGGTGATCAATCTGTGAAGTCAACGAACACAACTTAAAAATGTAGACATTACATTCAGCAGACAAAGAGATTAACTCACATGTAGTTCAGTTTTCTCTCAGTAAAATCCGCCTCCTAAAGTTCAGCTCTCAGCTTCTCGTTCCATTGATCAAAGAGTGGAGTCATCCAGAGGAGCGCGCGTCTTTGTGAGAAGCAAAAAGAGCGTCTCTTAAAGGCGCTGCTTCAAAGTGAAATGGCACCAAGACACTCAAAATCTTCCGCCTGCCTTTGTGCTGCAGACGCCAGACCTTGAAAAGTCCTCCGTTTGCGATGAATGTCGGCGAAAAACTCGTCAAAACCCCCCGATAAGTGATGGTTCAAGTTGGCATATCAAATGTGTGATTGATGGAGAAGCTAACTTTCATCCTTTAATACTTTAATTTCTCATGATAAAGTAAAAGAGGGGAAGTGGGTTTTGCTAAAGGCATTTAAATCAGACTCTGTTCCAGTCTGCTTCAGATAATATCAGATGCTTAAAGATGTCTGCAAATCTGTCACAGTGCAAAGGCTTTAAAGACACGCTGAAATGAGCATCATTTGCAGTGTATGTGGAGCTCGAGGTTAACCGCCGCTCACTGAAGATTGGCTAATGAGCTGACCGGCCGAAGCCCATTTTCTCAGGCCTCCAGCAGCTCAGAAAACTTGGATCAAACGGCGTCTCTGTGCAGCCCGGCCTCGCCTTCATAAAGCCGAGAAGGCGAGGAGCAAAGCTTAATCTGAGGTGGCGACGGTTCAGTGGGCTGATAACACGGCAAACAAGAGAGGAGGCCTGACCCGGAGTGAACTCTGCCGCGGCTCAGCGAGGGGGTCGGCTGAAAACGACCAAATTAAAATGCTGAAGGAAATTCAAGTTTAAGCTGAAGGAAAGTGGCTGCTGCACATTTGTGTGTTTCTCGGGGTCAGACTTGCCTTTGAGGAACGGGCAGCTGTTGCTGCTTTTAGCATCTCGATGATGATAGCGGCTGTGACTTATAAGAAGATGTTGAAGGCCCGCACTTACATAATGGTCTGCGTTTCACTCCTACAGAACACAAGCAGACAGGTCGGACTGTTTTGTGAGGAATAAAAAGCTTCATTAAGGCCGTGCACAAAGCTCCGGGGCTCGTTTCGGCCGGCGCTTTTATTTTGCACGTCTGCTGCTTTTACACTCAGAGACAAAGAAAGGCTGCATAAAGTTTCCAGAAAGCAATTTCACACATGTGATTACTCATGTGCCGTCAGATGGATAACACCGTGAAGATGATGAGGACAGCAGTGAAATGTGCAGACTGGTTTAATCATGAAGCAGCAGGAGATAAAGCGCAGAGGACTGCTGTCTGATGACATTTGGGGAAGATGAAATCCAGCATCACTCTTCCGTGTTCCAGTTTCTGTATGGATCATCAGAGATACGATCTGACAGCATCATGGAATAACAGCAGCACAGGACGCTTCGTCTTCAACATTTTGGAGTTTTTTAAAAAGTAGATTTAACCAGGATTAGAAAAACTCTGAAGATATATCGCATCCATCACGGACCCAGCAGTTTCATGGGAGTACAAGATTATATTTTCAAGATATCGTCACATCATCATTAATTGATAAGAGAACGCAAACGTGAAATGTCCTGAATGATTTGATGTTTGAATGAGTTGAATCGGTTGAGCTTCTGTTGTGTATGTGTCTTTTTCTTGAGTGTGTAAAGGAGTGAAAATAATGTTGCAAAGCTTTTGGGGGTACCTCAAGGTTCAATTCTTGCCCCACAATTATTTACCATATATATTAAACGCCTTGGACTTGATCATATTCTTCACGGGCTACACACTGGACTATCTTCAAATCTTACACTGATATCAAAAATCGGGGGAGACCTCAGACATGAGGACAGTTTGATGTTTAACATTATAATCCTCTGAGCGCACACTAGACCAAGAGTTCCCAAACTTTTCCTGCCTGACCCCCTAGAGGTGCCAGAGACTAGGGACCGACATCGTGGAAGAGCGTCTCATCCAGACACTGGAGAAACAACAAAAGAAAAGTGAAGAATGGTTACTAGCCAATTACTGTAGAGACAGAGTATAGGGCGGGTCATTCCTTTGCCAACCTGAATATTGTGAATCAACAGGGATGTAGAACTCAGTATATTTGTTTTACCTGCATTCACCCCGCACTACACCACTGATGATGAATCTCCCTCAGGGAAGAAAAACAACCTGCAATCTGACAGCAGGTAAAAAAAACTGACGACCTGATCTCATCGTGTATCATGGAGTAAAAAGAGACGTCTCTTTAGCTCGCTGTCCTCCGTTCCCCCTGCACGCTGAGCGCCGCCGCCGCAGCAGAAGAAGAAGAAATGTTTGTGCTGCAGATAAAAAGGGATTAAGTCCAGTGATGAGCGCCTGAGGGAGGTGACGACTTCCTGTTTCTTTCAGGATGTTTTTTCTTAAATCAGACTCTGTCAAACTTTTCTCTCATCGCCTGAAAGCAGCTTCTGAACTTCTGAGAACTTCATCTACATTTAGACTTCAGCGCTGTGTGACGTCATGTGATGTACCTGAGGTCGTAAACGATGACCAGCACTGAACACTGACAGAAACAAAGCCTAAAACATGGAGAGACGTCTGATGAAGGAAGATCCATCGACTGCTGCAGGCGACTTAAACAACACCTTTTTATTTTGGCATCTTTGAAAACTACTCCATGATCGGCAGCTTCAGACGGAGGAATGAAGAAATAAAGATTCTCGATGGACGATGTTCTGACCTCTCGTTTAAAAACCAGAAAGCAAAGTACAGAGAAATATACAGCACTGCTTTACAGGAAGTGATTCAAAGTTGTCCTGCACAAAACCAGAAGTCCGACCGGGTCTCTTCCAAACCTGCATACTTTGGGGGCGGGGTTTGTGTGGTGGGAGTGTTGTCTGAAGCAGCAGTGACCTCCTTTGTCCAATCAGGCGTCTCAGGAGTCTGAATGTGGCGTTTTATTTTGAAATTGATCGGACGCTCTGTGCTTTTCTTTGTCTGACTTCCTGTCAGGGTCGTTCTATTCTGTCCAGCTTGTCACGTTCTTGTAGCGTATTTGAAAAAGAGAAGCGTGTGTGAGCATGTTAAAAGTCCAGTTAGCATCGTTAGCACCAGCGCTAGTTTGGTTACGTCTGCCATCGCACTAATCTCATGTAAACTAAAGAGACAGCGTCGCACGATGACGTCACACGGAGGAGAAACCGCCGCACAGTGTGACGTTACAAGAACTAAACTCTGTTTCCCCGTCTACACAGAACGCCGTTTGTGTACGAGGTCCAAACATACAGGAAGAACTACGATAAAAAAAAAAGAGTCTTTTTTTAGATTCTTTTGACTCGGTTTCTTTGAATGAACAAATTTGGAATTAATTCTTAGAAAAGAGTTATTTGATGAGATCGATCTGATTTATCTTTATTGGATCAAACATGAACTCAGTTTTAGAACGTGTTGATGTTGTTCGCTCTCCCTGTTTGTTGTTTTTGCAGCTCCTGCCCCCCCCCGCCCCCCCCGCCTCTCTTCCTTCCTTCTTTGTGTGTTTGTGTCTCTGAGAATCATCCAACACGTTCTGTGGAGCAGAAGAAGAAAAACACGAGCTCACCCCGAAGACGCACAGATTCAAAACACAGCACACTCGGAGAGAATGCGAAGACCTCTGGCCGACAGAACAACAACAACAACAACAAGGAGGATGAAAAGGAAACAGAAGAAGAAGAAGAAGAAGAAGAAGAAGAAGAAGAAGAAGAAGAAGAAGAAGAAGAGGAGGTTTGTGTTTGTGTCAAAACAAACCAGTGAGTTCTCCACAGGAAACCTTTGAATACATCACAAATATAATCCTTCAACATGAGTGTAAAAACACACACACACACACACACACACACACACACACACACACACCTTAAAAAAGACTTTCTCTTCGTCTGTCTGTACGTCTGACATTATTTACATAGAAGCTTATAAAAATCAGATTTCTTGTACATTGAGTCAAAAAAAACAGAATCATCAGACGAGTTCATCTTGAAATATTTCTGAAGTTTTTTAATCTGCAGCGACGCCAAGAAGCAGCGAGCACGATGGAACACCTGACTCTTTAAGAAGGAGGAGACGTTTAAAACAAACACACGATGTTAAATAAGAAGCTGTAGAACGCCATGACCCCGAGATTCCATCAAATGCGTGGTCGGTCTGTCTCTGCTCCGCCGCGGCAGCGTGCTCAGGGTGTCCCAGCCTCTGAGCTGTCCTCCCAAATCAGAGACTGGGAGATCTTGAACGCAACATTTCTCTTAACCTTGTTGTGCACATAGTCTGTATATAACATGGATGTAGTCTCAGTGACGTCACCCACATGTTTCTGGAGGGAAATTTTGAAGCCAAACAATGGCAGTCTCCATATTGGAAATGCTGACTCTACCAAACTTTCGATCGCTGCAGTAACAAGCAAAGAGGCGGAGCTGAGGCGGGGCTTTAGCCTCCTAGCTAACAGCTATGACACGCCCCCCTTGGAAGTTAGAGAAGCCACGCCCCTTATTGTGAATATCTCTTATTCTTCATAAATTAAAAGCAGATGAGTTAAAAAATAAAGAAAAGAAATGACAGTGTGTCGAATGAAGCCATGAGCTACTCAGTCCCAAAAAAATGTTTATTGAACCTTTCATGAAATAAACGATCTTCAGACACCAGATTTCAACCGAAGACGAGAAAAACTGAGACTCTAAAGATCCCAGGCGGGAACATGATGGAGAAATGATCTGATCTGATAATCCAGCTCGATGTCAGACCCCCTCAGTGCGGTTCAACTCCACAAAAAAACAAACACAGTAACACACACACATGTTGTCACACAGGATATCTGAAAAGCAAAGTAACATGCACGTCCTCTGCAGAGTCAGGTGCAGCCAGCAGGGGGCGCTGCAGGGAGGCGTGGCTGAAGGTCTTTGCATTCACACACATGCACACACACACGCGCACACACACACACACACACACACACACACACACACACAGGGGGAGGGGGGGTTTGTGGATGGGATGGAAGTGAAGAGAAATCTGTGATGTCACTCACTGATGCTAAAGAAAGTGTGTGTGATGTGCTTCTTGGACATAAGGCACAGCGCCCGTCGGTCACAGAGCGGCTCGTGGTCACATCGGGTTTGAATCCCGTTTTGAAAAAGTCTCAGAGCGAGAAACGAGCCGGGTGATCACCGCTGAGGTCGAGGAACACACTTATGACATTGGGTTTAACGGAGACGGCTAACGACTGAGGTTGTTTTTGTTCATGTTTTTAGTTGGAAGGGGGCGGGGCTTCAGCTTCAAAGAACATGGAATAAAAGGTCACAATAATAGCAGTGCTGTTAGATCAATTAGGATCACACACACACAGAACTACACACTTCAGCCTCGCTCAGACTGCAGGATCATCAGGCTTCAGGGTGTTCCTGACTCGAGGCTGATCAAAACCGATGAGTGCACCTTTAAGAAAAAGCTAAAGACCCAGCTCTTTCATGAATACCTACTAACTTAATGATGATGGTCTCCATATTATTGATGATGATGATGGTAATGACGATGGTTTTTGTTTGATAACGACGACTTATAAGATGGTTTCTATACTGATTAGAGCTCTCAAGAACTGCCCTCAATGTTGTGCTTTGCCTCTGGTCACTTCCTGTCAGCACCTGTGTGTCCAATCAGACTCAAAGCTGATCGTTTGCTCTTACTGACATTGTTCCCTTTTTTCTAGATCCTTGCTTGTGTTGTTCTTACTCTCTGATGTACGTCGCTTTGGATAAAAGAGTCTGCTAAGAGAATTGTAGAATTGTAGAAATGTATTGTGTTATGTTTGATATTTAGGATTTAAAATCTGACATCATGAAAGGGTCTGGAGGAAGTCGTGTGACTACAATAAATGAAAGACACCAGAGAGGAAAGTGGACAGTAGAGATGCAACCCGCACAATCTGACCTCCAGCCCCCCCAGACATTTCTTCACCCAAAACTAAAACAAACCGACCCCCCTTAGCTTTGTTAAGAATGATGCAATACAAACAGTTTGTGACGAGCAATTTCCATTTCAACTAAATTACATTTTAAATATCCTGTTTTTTTAAAACTGCATCCATAGAGAGTCCTCTCATTCGATATAATTTATGACATCAGGTCATCGTCATGTGGCTGTGAAGTATGTGAAAACAGAAAAGGAAAAGTGGATCTCAGACGAGGAGACGAAAAAAGGAAGGGGAGAGGCCTGTTGCCATGGTGATCACCCGACTGATTCTGGTGCTGAGACGCTCACGAGGGAGAAGGGGACAGATCAGAGCGTCTCCTCGAGTAAATCGACGTTTCTACTCTCAGGTTCCAGCAGGAGGCTCGGGCGATGTGTGTGTGTGTGTGTGTGTGTGTGTGTGTATGTGTGTGTTTATGTGTGTGTTTGTGTGTGTGTTTGTGTGTGTGTGTGTGTGTGTGTGTGTGTGTGTGTGTGTGTGTGTGTGTGTGTGTCAGTGGGATGACGATGACGTTCCCTCTCTGATCTCACTCGTATTAAAAACTCTTTAAAACCTGAAATGTGTCACTTTTCTTCTGTTCATGTTATTCAGTTTAAAATCAAATACCCTCCTCCCCCCCTCCCGGTCCTGCCCCCGCCCCCTGTTCAGTAGAAAGAGCTTAGAGGGGTGTGTATGACGCTCAGTGGGGGGGGGGTTAAGTGTCCCATGTTGCCTCAGAGGTTCTTTCACTCTGAAAAGTACAAAAGTAAGGGAGAAAATATTTTAATAGCATTGAAATATTGGCACAAAATATCAGCTGTGAGCAGCTTCATCCAAAAGGTTTCCATAGCGATCAGTCCGAGTGTTTGTGATTGTAGTGTGTGTCCATGATCAGCAGCTCTGGCAGTCTCTGAAGTGTTTGCTGTGAATCCGTCCAAAAGAGGCGACACGTGATCCTCTCGTCCACACCCAACGAGTGTGTGTGTGTGTGTGTGTGTGTGTGTGTGTGTGTGTGTGCGTCTGCAGGATCTCTGTGTATTTATGTGTACGAGCGGCGTTCAGGGTCCTAGAGGCAGACGTTGTTGCTGATCTGGCAGGTGGATCCGGTGCCGGCCTGGGACAGGAAGAGCCTCCCGTTGGGGCAGACGCAGACCTCGTAGACGGTCTGCCTGGTCCCGGAGGACGAGGAGCTGCTGGAGGCCTTCCCCTCAGGCAGCCGCATCAGACGGATCCTCCGAGCGTCCAGCGTGATCTGAGGGACAGGAAGAGGACACGGGTCAGAGTGGCCATCAAACAACACATAATGAACCATGATGCGATGTCTTGTCTCGCATCGTGACCTTTAGTAACCTCTCGTGTAATAAAATGGCCACCAAGCCTTTTCTGCAACATTTTGGAGTAAGTACTTTTAACCACTTTTTTGTGGAAATAACCGAATCTGGTATGGAAGTGATGTCTGATGTTGTAGAAGTGTGATCCTGCGTGCAGTTTCTGTGTCGCTCTTTTAGTTCCGTCTGTTTTCTCTTTGCAGAGTGCGCTCTCCTGCTAGCTACAGCGCGCTAGTGGAGCTCTCAGTCTGCTGTCAAAGTTGTGAAGTATCCTAAGAGACTAGTCGCGCCGCCCGACTCCGCTGCTCGTAACCTTCACTAAAGGACTCTTTTTCTGGGGCATTTTTTGCCTTTAATTTTTAATCTATTTATTTATTTTACAGGGACATTGCATATTAATAAACATTTTGGTAAATATGCCAGAGTTAGAGTTTCATCTGTTATCCCTGGCCAGATTTCATAAAAAAAACAAATTCAAACATCGCTAAAAGCTACAAAAATAGAAATATCATGACAGTAATTAAGCAGACAGGTGAGCAGCCACAGGAGAAAATACATAAACCATGCAGGATACACATGAAGCAGCATTTGGTTGAATGTAAAAAATGTATCTCATGCAGGACAGACGTGGAGCAGACAAACAATGAACCGGAAAAAACATAAAAAATGGAGTAATGTAGAGATGGATAGAGCTGGTCACAGAAGACCACAGAAGACATGCAGGAAAGGAGCCACAGGTCGGATTCAAACCTGGGCCGCCCGCTTCGAGGACTACAGCCTCCATACATGGGGCGCGCACACTAACCACTGAGCCACCAGCGACTCTTTCAATCACAAATGTTTTTGTTTTCTGTAAATGCAGCGTGATGACGTCATGACGCGCAGCTAGCCTGGTCTGTTTCCATGTGTGCAATATTGAGTATACAGATGGCGTGCAATGTGGAACGATGGCGGCTACACGCTCAGTAACGATGGCGCGTGTCAGCCGTGTATAAGACGCATTAAAAGTGTAGGGAGGGTTATTCAAACGCCATCTCGAGTTTCATCCATCATATCTCTTTGAAATGTTCATCGCAGCAGCAGAACATGGTTTGTGTTTTTAGCGCCGAGTCAGCGACCTCATCGTGACTTTACATTCAGAAAGGCGAGGCGTGACGGGATGATGGCGTGAAGCCAGCTGCAGCCACCACTCGTCACATGAAGCCTCTAACGGCCCACGCCATGACGCTCGTGATCCTCGCTCACATTCAACCAAAAAGACTGAAGAGCGTTTTCTTTCTTCAAACTCATCTTCCTCCTTTCATCTCGACCTCAGGTAACCTGCGCCTCGTCTCTCCACCTGCTCTCTTTAGCTTTCTGCTTTTCGGGTCGTCTACCTCACAAGATCCAGCTCGCACTAATAGCGCCCGCCCTCTCCTGACGCCTTAGCACACCGCGTTGATGGATGCACAGAGCGCTCTAAGTGGTCTTGATGTTGAGAGGCTCCATAAAAGCATCTCTCCGGTTTTCTCAGACGGCGGTTCAGGTGTGCTAAAGGTTTTTTTTATATCCACACTCCTCACACATTCAGAGCACAGCGAGGGCCGGCCGCGTTTAGGGGTTAAAGGTCACGAGTTGGATTTGCAGGTCGCAGCCTGAACAGAAATAATAAATGCGAGGCAGAGTGACATTCGTGGTAAAAGTCACCCAGAATGCATCAGTGTGGCATCAGCTCTGTGGAGAAATGTCTCACAGACTGAAGAGGTGGAAAGCTACTGGATAGGAAATCATCTAAAGGTCATCGCTCTGAATCCCTGAAGCGGGACCAGGACACATTTAAGTCTCTCCAAATTGAAGAAAGCCGGAGTATAAACTTGAGATGGACCAGAAAGCAGATATTCACCGCACCAATCAGAAGATTACACCTCCTAGATTTGATCTACTACTCTGCAGAATTGTTCGATTGCCTCTCCTCCTGTTCAAATAACTCTGATGTGAAAGCAAACACACTGAAAGGTCCAATCAGTGAGATGTGTAGCGAGTGAGTATCTTACTATCTGATCAGACATTAAGGAAACATGTTATGTTGAAGCTTCACTGACAACAACACAGCAGCCAGTATGTCCTCCTTCTAACTTTAGATTCTGCTCCTGAATGCTCTGGATTTATCAGGTCAACAGGTGTTGCAGCGATGGAAGCGGTCAAGAGAAGTGGTTCAGATAGAAGTGATTGTACCCGACCTAAAAAGCCTCTGCATGTTTCTAATAAGCTCCACGAGCAGAAACGTGCTCAAACTAGGATCAATATTGGAGATGCTTTTGAAAAATGGAGAGAGGTTAGAACACAGAAAGGTTTACAGACCCATGCAGAGCTGAATAAACACTGAAGCTTCAGAGTCCACCACATGGTGACCTGAGTGAGCATCCACTCTAGAGAGGAGGGGGAGAGACAGCTGTCTATGATGTTTAGGATATGGACTGCAGTACCCGTTTTAAACACTAGGGGTCAGAGTTACATATTGCTCCTTTAAGTAAAGAAAACAGACTACTGCCCCCTGCTAGAGAGAGGGGGGGGGGGCAGACTAGAGAGGTGGAAAAACTAAGAATAGTTCAGCTATCAGCTCCCTAATCTAAATAATGCACCAAAAATTAGGAACTAACACTAAATCATCCAGGAGACCCCGTAACAAAGAGCAGGGGCTGCAGGGGAGGCTGGAGGAGAAACTACCCAACAGCACGAGTTAGACTCAGAGAGAGAAAGGAAATAAGAGGCAAACACACAGGAAGTAGTTTCTGTCATGCAGACTGACACACACACACACACACACACACACACACACACACACACACACACACACACACACACACACACACACACACACACACCTGACTGCAGCGAGGTCGATCTCTCACCAACCTCACCGAGCACAAGGCCGCGTCCACACCGAGGTTTGATTTTTAAAGTTTTCCTCCGTTTAAAAGAATCCTCCCGTCCACACGCGCTCAGATCTCAGTCAAAAACGATGAACTTGACATGAGAACATTTGAGAACCTGAGATCCTCAGTTTGTCGTCCTGATTCTGTAAAAATCTCCGGTCTGCATCAGACCAGTCTCCCTCACATTCTGTTTCCCACAATGCAAAGCGGCAGGTCAGAGATGGAGATGACAGGAAGCAGCGTCCAATCATAACAGAGGAAATAATCACAATCAGACTGAACCACTCAAAGAGACATCCAGTTCTCTTTGTTGATTCTCTAAATCATGAAACTCTAAAAGAATCTCTCGCCAGCTTTTTTTCAGACTCTAAGCGGACGCTACGCTGTAACGCCGTTTAACGCCGTTTAACGTCAGCTGGGCTGTTGTTCACTTCCTCATTCCAAGATCAGAAACCAGCTTACCGGGTGTCCTGCAGAATAACCACCGACTGGAGGTCAGAGGTCAGGCTACAGACTGCTGTCGAGCGCAGTATGCAGCACATACATCGTTTGATAGAAGTCTGAAGGAGGCGGTTTTGACATCAGAAGAAAAAGAGAGAGAGGGAATAAAGACGAGAGACGAGAAAGAACGTCTCAGAGGTAAAAATAACGGGATTAAATTCTGGCGGCGGTCCTGACCGTCCTCTCTGCCAAAACATTTTATAAGCCTCCAGGTGTTGGACGGTGGACAGGATGTCCTCCTCCTTCTTCTTCTTCACATTGTTTCAAACTGCACAACGCCATGGTGAGACGATATCCTTTGTTTCTCTGCAGCGTGGTCGATTCAGGGAGAACCAGAACGCCACGCCCAAGAGACGGATGCTGAGACGTCGGGCTTTTACAGAATGCCATCCGAAAAGTGCTGAATCATTACTGACGATCAAACAGAGTCAACAGATGGCGCCGTCTGCATCAGACCAGTGGTTCAAACTCTGCATTAATTGGCGTGTGACGCAACGGGTCAACAGGAAGTATGCAGTCAGACTTTGGGCCTCTTTCACCAGCTGTTCTTAAGAACGCCGGCGCCATCTTCAGCCCTCCGCGTGGCCTCTCCACAACCGCTTACTTTCTGCTACCAGTGTGTGTTTCTGTGTGTATCAGGGCACTGCGATCATGTCCTTTTATGGCATTAGTGGGCGGTTACCTATGCAAATTAGGAACAACATGGACGCGCTTTCAACTTAAGAAGACGAGGAGAGAAGCCGTCATTCTGACGGAGAGTCTAAGTGTTTTTTCCAGGTAGTAAAGCGCTGACTGTGTGCTCTGAAGCGTTTGTGCTCTGAGAAGAAAAGTGCTGCATGTCCGTCCTGTCTCCATGACAACAGTCTGTTACCAACGGCCGCTGTATGAGCGACACTGCTCTGTTACTTTTTACTGCATGTTTTATATTTGAGATCATTTATTTTCCTGATCAGACTCGGACCGAGGAGGACGAGGGTACAAGACACGATCTGTAGGCAGCAAAACTACGGGAAATATCAAACATTTGGAAAAGAGCGGCGGTGACTTCAACAACGCCTTTCTGGAAAGTTGAAAGGTTTTCAACATGAGCGCTCAGAGCCGCCGCACACAAAGGCAGAACGCTTGTAAAAAAGACGCTGGGCGCTGCTTTCTGCTGCGAAAGCTGAAAAAAACACCTGGTGGACACGGGGCCTCAGAAATCTTCTTCATAACTCCTTAACGGCTTTATATGTGATTTTTAACCCTTAAATGTAGAAATCAAGTATCTCCTCTGAAAATAACTCTGTGAGTCATGACTGTCTACAATGGGTGTAACACCCGAGTCCCACTGTCTGTGATGTTTTCAGAGTTTTCAGAGTCCTATCTTCACTTTGTTTACATCGCCAGGACGGCCGGCT